GCGGTGTGTGTTCCCCCCGGCGTTCCCCCGGCTGGCGGCCTCGCCCTCGAGCTGCGTCGCCCTCGGAGGCAAGGTTTCTAAAGCTTTGTTTGACATGCTTTGTTTGACATGATGCAAAGAAGGAGCTGCCCTTGGAGAGGGACGTCATGCTTGGGAGGGTCAAGGGACAGTGCAGGAGAGGAGAAGCTTCTTTGAGGTAGATTGATGCATTGACTGGGGTGATGGCAGTAGGTATGTCAGAGACAGTGAGATTGGTACAGGATAGAGCAGGGCTTCGGGTTATTATACATAGGTTTGCTGTGAGTTGTAGACAACTCAAGAGCACATAACAACAACAAGTAGAAAGTAGACAAGGTTTTGAGCAAGCGTCACATTTTAAAAACAAACATTTTGGTTTTGATATGCTATCGTTAGGGGAGCTCTGGTGGCCTACTGGGTAAAGAGTCACACTTCAAACCCAAAAAGGGGTGGTTCAGATTTACAACCTACTCCTTGGAAGAAAAGATGGGCAGTTTCGCCTCTTGTGGTTCGTTTACCGCCTCTGAAAACCTGCTAGAGGGTCAGCTATGAGTCATTTGCAACTCACAGCAATAAAACACAATGCTGTATCAGGTGGGCTTGGAGGAAGGATATTCTAATTCTGAAGACTAGGCAGAGATCACCATTGATTGGTGGCAGTGGGATTGTTGGTTATGTAAAACATTTGAGCAAAAATCACTGAGATGTGAGAATAGTTTGGACTTGGAGTTAAGGAGAGGAAAAATGCAAAACCGAGCTTTAAGTCTACTTTTTACTTTTGGCAATGTGGTTCAAAAAAGACACTAGCAGTAAAATTAAGGCTTGTTGTTACTATGTGTGGTGCAGTCGGAATCAGCCCATAGCTGACCGTCTGGCGGGTTTTCAGAGGTAGCATTTTGCACAGGAGGAAATTGCCCATCCTCCCACTGGCCTGCTGATGGATTCAAACTGTATGCCTTTTGACAGAACAATTTAAGGGAAGAAGCAAGATTGAAAAGAAAAAAAAAGATGCAGTTAGACTAAAATTTCAGAATAGTGTTGAAACTGGAGGTTTTAGCTAGAGGGAATTCGCTGGGAGAGGGGAAAAAATAAGAGTTGCACCAAGGACTGAGACTTCCTAGGGAGAAGGAACTAGAGGAGCCACTTATTGAGACTGAAAAGGAGCAATCCGAGTTGGGAACAGAACCTTGAGTGTTGATACACACTTAGCTCAAACTCATCCATATTCATTGAGCACTTTTACAAGAACTTCCTTTCAGACGAATAAGCTTCTATTTAAGTATGACATTACTCTCAAGGGCTCGGGTGTTGTAGGTCACAGATCACTACCGAGTATTGAATTTCTGAGACACAGATACTTTTCAAAAAGATCCAAAAAGCAACTCAAATTTCTGTATTCTTTAAAAAAGGTAAGAAATTCCTGTATTCCTGATTTGGCTCTTTTCTATTTCCTGATTTGCATGAGTACTCTTAATTTTTTTCCGTCTTTGATTGAAGCATAAGGACAAACCATAGACAGCTTGATGACATCTCAGGTATTGTATACAACTGAAAAACCCACAACCAGAGGAAGAAGCAGAATATTACTCATATACCATTATTCTCTTATGCCCACTCACTCATCATTCTTGCTACCCCAATACCATAAGCTAGTGTTGCTAGGTTGTTCCATATCTGAAGGGAATCATAAAGTATGTACACTTTGTGTCTGACTCTTTTCATTAGTATTTGTGAAATTTGCCCATATTGTTTTTATTTTATATATACACACACACACACACACATATGTATATATGTATATGTAAATGTGTGTACACACACACACACACACACACACACACACACACACACACTTGGAGTCAGGAGTGGCATCCACTTCCTAAACAACATGCCGCTGGAATCTCTGAACTGTGATAAATGTTGATAGCTGTATAGGGGCTTCAGGCTTTTTGTTCATAGGGTCGATATGAGATGTCCTTGACTCGAGAGCAAACAAAAACAACAAAGATACCTATATATCTGTCTATCCATCCCTATACACATGCACACCTACCTCCTTGCATTGCTGTTTATTAGATATATAGCCTCAAGAATTCATTTTCAGTTTGAAACTAGTCTAAATGATACTTATGTGAATATCAGTTTATTATTTAAATAGGAATGTTGGATATTATGTTCGCGTTTCTGAAGTTGCCATTACTTCTCTCACTGTCTTTCTTGCTAAATGCCTTCCCACCTGACCTATTTTAATTGTTAAAGAAAAAAGATTTTTTTAAAATAATATATATGAAAGTATGGAGTGCCACAAGAAATTTGGCTTCTTAAAAATGTCAATGCTGATGACTTCCTTCTACTTGAATTCACAATTAATGGCCAAAAAAGCAGCAGCCAAAACATTATCAGGAAAATTTTCTGTCAAGGACCTCTCCAAAGTTGTTAAAATCAAGGATGTCAGTTTAAAATTAAGGTTCACCTGAGCCCAAGCCATGATATTTTCACCTTTTTTTCATGCGTCTGAAAGTTGGACAAGGGAGAAATGAAACTGAAGAAGAATTGATGTCTTTCAATTATTGTGTTGCAAATTGTATTGAATATATCAAGGTCTTTCAAGAGAACAAACAAGTCTATCTTGGAAGAAATGCAACCAGGGTGCTCCTTAGACACAAGAGTTATCTCGTATACTTGGGGCATATTGTGAGCAGGGGTCAGACCTTGGGAATAGATGTCAGCCTGGGAAAGGTGGAAGATTGGAAAAAGAGAGAATGCACTGGCTTGGGGACTTCCACAATGGGCTTGAGCCTGTGAGAGCATGAGAGTGGTGCAGGCTAGAGCAAGGCTCTGATCTGCTATTTATAGTGTCTTTATGAGTCATAGTCTGCTCAGTAGCACAGAACAAAAATTTATGTCTGCAGACCTTAAACATCTTCTTATTGGCACTGATTTTTGCTTTCCCAGCTGTCCATTACATTATTGGATCTCTGGTGGTGTAGTCCATCACCTGTGATGCTAACCCAAAGCCTATATGACTCTGGTAGTTCAAATCCACCAGCAGCTCAACAAGAGAAAGATGTGCAATGTCTTCTCATGAGATTAACAGCCTCAGAAACCTGATAGAGGATCAGCTATGCGATGGTTCTGACTTGACTGCAATGAGTTTTTGTTGTTTGTTTGGTTTTTGGGTTTTTTTTTTAATATACTTTTTTAATGATCCAGGTTATGTATTTTAAATATTCCTTGAACCTATCAAAATGATCTGTGTTTTGGGGGAATAAATCATTCCATTTTAAAGTCACAGTTCAATTTTAGCAAGAGAATGAGGGAACAGAGAATAGCTTCCGTATTCTTAATGCAGATTTGTTTACAAAGCAATACAAAGAGGCGAAAGGGAGACCTGATGGCACAGAGGTTAAGTGTTGAACTGCTAACTCCAAGGACTGCAAGTTTAAGGACAGCTGCTCTTCAAAAGATGAAGCATTTTCCTCTCATTTAAATTTGCACCTTCAGAAACCTCTTAAAATGTTCGATGAGTTGGGATCAATGTGGTGTCAGTGGTTTGACGGGAGTGTTTAGCATTAGCAAGCTATCTCTGGTAGCACAGTGGTTAAGCACTCAACTTCTAGAAGAAAGATTGGTATTTGAAACTCCCTGGTGGTTTTGTGGGACAAAGACCCAAGAGTCTTCTCCCATAACGATTTTAGCTGAGAAATCCCTATGGTACAATAACAAAATAACACCACTACTCTGTCACTTGGTGTCATTATGTATAGAAAACCACTAACTGGAACCTAGAAGCATTGATTGACAAAACAATACATTGTAATATTATATGTTAGTCTTTTTCAAAGTTTAAAGTCAATGTTACTAATTGAAAATTAATGGTAGATTTGTACAAGTCTTGCTGTTTCAGAATTGAGTTGATATTTGATAAGAAATGGCATAATGTCTTATGTGTGTACATGTATATATATGTGTGTGTAAAAATCTATCTGTGATGTGTTCAATGAACATTCTTTATAGAAAGGACAATAGAAGACCATGAACTGGTGATGGAAGTGCTATCTAACTGGGGAATGGAAGAAGAGAATAAACTGTACTTTAGAAAAAATTATGCCAAATATGAATTCTTTAAAAACCCAATGGTAAGTGAAACACCCATTATTGATCATAGAGAGAAAGCTAGTCAGTTATATGTCTTTAATTTTATGCTGAGATGAAATTTATTATAAGTCAGTTATTAGATAAATTATAAAGTTTCTGGTCATTTAAATTGTAGTCACATTTCCTTTCTCTCACAATAATTAGTCAGCAACATGCTGAGAAGTTTAGATAGACAGATGAAATATTTTTAACTGTGATGGCAAAATAAATTAATTTGAAGAAAGTATTTACTTAAGATACTCAAGCATCTCTCTGAGGAATCATTGTTCCTTCCTTTCATTATGAGACTAACAATTACTGTTACATATTTGAGAGAATGAATTGTGATGTTTCCTCAGGTTGATTACAAAAATACTAAGTTTTAGTATTCTGCATAGAACTTAGGAAATTTAAATCTGACATTTTCTAAAGTAACAGCAGATTGATAATTGTTGGTAGTTTTGTAACTTAGCCAGAAAGTTAAGATTGACATGAAGCTTGCTGGTCCAAATAATTTTGTTTTCCTTGAAGCAATTACTGAGCTAAGTAAAAGTGAGGTAAGGACCAGTGCATTATCTAGTAAATACTGCTTTTACTATAGTTCTCTTTAAAACAAAATAAATGTATGCCACATTCTAATGAAGAGTAGGGATCCAGAGAAATCAAAATAGCCTCTGGGCTCATTATTTTAAATTGTTTTTATCACTGCAGCTGTAGCATATTTTTGCTCTAAGTTTTAGATAATTGGATTGAAATGATCCTTTATGAAAAATATATGATACACACCATAATGGAATATTTTGAAACCCTGAAAGACCTCTTATGTTCTCTTTTCTTTTAATGTATTAATAGAAACATAATGGGATAATCTTTGACAAAGAAAATAAGAGTTCTAATAAAAATTAAATAGAATTTGAAAGGAAAGTGTTTTCTTATTGTAAATCTTTATTAAGGTAAAGAAGTTAAAAGTCACATTGACATTGATATGGTTTAGTGCTATTTTTGTTTTAAACAAGGGTAGCCATTCATTTTCTAGTCATAGAATAGTCATTCTCACTGTTGGACAATTTGGCAAAGGCTTGAGACATCTCTGGTTATTACCAGTGGAGTTAGGTCTAGTGGGTAGAAGCCATAGATGCTGCTAAACATTCTTCAGTGTAGAGGGAGGGTAGCTTGCCACAGTGAAAATGTCAGTAAAAATGCTATTGAAAAACATTGTCCTAGAGAAAATATAGTAGAATGCTTCGCCCAAACTTTTCTAACCCTCAGAATTGCCTGAAGGAAGAAAAGGGGTATTTTTAAAAACACAATATCTGAGACCTACTGCATCATAAACTTTAGGAACATGCCTGAGAATTTTCATTTTTAATTGCCCTGGGTTAATTTTTATGATCAAACGACTTTATAAAATGGTAGGTAGAAAGAACTCGACTTCCAGTCCTCTGGCCCCAGTTCAAGTCTGCTGTTGCAGTTTGTAGGCTGTCAATGGGGCATATTCATTACTCCTTGAGGTCTTGATTTCACACAATACGAGCAATAGGCCTTCAGGACCTAGTGAGTGGTAGTTTGCAGGATTTGGGGGCAAGTTATAGGGACAAGCACATTGCAACTTTATGGCAGCATTTGGGAACCTTAGAAGGATGAATCAGCTAGAGGTGGTGTTAATCCTTGAACCCTAATCCACAGCTGTTCTTTTTTAGAGATCTCATAAGAGTTTCTGTTTTCAAAAGCACTTTGCTTTCAAAATACTGGTTTTGTTTCAACCTTCATTTCTGTTTTCAAAACCTTTCTGTAAACTCTCATTAAAATAACAACTTAAAAAATTGAGGGAGGAAGACTTTTGGGTGAATTTTAGACATACTGGCTTGAATACACTGGGTTCAAGAATGTTGATTTTATACTATTGGCTATACTAAACCTTTTTTAGCATGAGTTTTGGGATGACCTAACCTGTATCGTTTTGTCAGTATTTTTTTCCAGAGCATATGGTATCTTTTGCAACTGAAACCAATGGTGAAATATCCCCCACACAGATTTTACAGGTATATTTTTTTTTCAGTATGTAGAACATAATGAAAGGAAACTGAGACTTTTATTTATACATGCACAGATTTTGAAATGTTATACCTTGAATGACTAATTTTTCCTGGAGGTAAGGCTAAAAAAAAGTCAAACAATCTGAATAAAGAATGCAGGAATTAGTCAATACATCTTACTTAGCAATATTTGCATAATTATGAGGGGAAATCTACTTCATGGCAAAAAGGTTTTGGTTTTTTTTTATAAAAACAATCTTTTTCTTAGGTATGATCTATTTTCTAAGGATTATAAGCTTTTTAGAAATATGTATCTTGAACTTTGGAGAGCTTTACTCTGTGATATATTTAAAAATTTATGTTTATCTTTTTAATAAGAAGAATTCTCAATTATGGACATTTCACTCATAATTACCCAATGTTTGTTTTTATGCTACCTCTCTTAATCCTAGTTGGGATGAATTATTGAGCAATTTAATGAAGGGGAGGGAAAGGATATAACATAGAATCTATTTAATGAGTTTAGTTTCATTTGTAAATTCTAAGTTTAGATGAAAATAATTACATATAGTTGTGAAAAGTTTTTAGCTGATTTACGAATAATAGCTAATTAACCATATTCCTCGTTTTGTATAAATTTGGTTCATTTCTTCCAAACTGGTCCTGGGTTGAGGTAGTAACTTTCAAAGAATTTTTGTTAAAATAATCATGTGACTTTGGCTGTTTTATTTTCTTTTTGCTAGGGGAAGGCTCTCTATGAGGTGGATTGATTCAGTGACTGGGATAATCGGGATGGGAGTGTCAGAGACAGTGCAATTGGCAAAGGATAGAGCAGAGTTTAGGGCTGTTGTACATAGGGTCGCTATGAGTCGCAAGCAGCTCAATGGCACATAACAACAACAATAGTCAATTTTACATTAAAAGATCAGTGGAGGTTGTTAATAAGCTATGTTAAATAACATAGTGGGTATTTGAAGTAAGCCCCTGGCTTCTACAGACTCATTTACCATTTTCTGTTCGTTAATGAAGAAAACTTTCAGTATTTTTTACTTTCAAAATATAAGGTGTTGATTTGTATCTCTCTTATTGCCAGTGATCAGTGATTTTGAGGATTTCTTCATGTGTCTATTGGCCATCAGAATGCCGTCTTTTGTGAAAAGTCTATGTCTGTTGCCCATTTTGTAAATTACTTCTCAGGTTTTTCATTCTTGCAGCCCAGGAATATTCTGTAAACTTTTATTATAGACCCTTGTCTGAGATGGTATTGCCAAATTATTTTTCCCATTTGATAAGTTTTCTTTTTACCTTATTGGGAAAAGTTTTTGTTGAGCACAGGGATTTAATCTTTAGATTAAATATAGGGCTGTTGTTGTTGTTGTGTTCCACTGAGTCAGAACCAATCCATGGTGGATCCTCTGGCAGGTTCTCAGAGGAGATTAATCACATGGGAGGAGATTGTCCATCCTTCTCCCACAGAGCAGCTCGTGGCCTCGAACCACATGCCTTCTGGTTTGTAGTACAGCTTCTTGCCACTACCCATACATAACAGGCTAGGGTTTTGATTTGCTTTTTAATATGCTTCATTTTATTTTAACATGACAAATATCTTAGAAGTAAGATCAGTGTAGCGGGTTTTCTCAAAGCTGCTGGATTTTCACGGGGACCACGATCAGATTGTATGATGAGGTGGTGATGTAGCAGTGCTCTGCACCCCTAATTTTCAGCCCTCTGAGCACTTCAGCACTGTGTTATGTTAGGGAAGTGGGTTGGAGTTTTTCTTCCTCCTCCTCCAAATTCTCCTCTAATATACTGATATTACTTTTATGTTAAATTATAAAAAACAAGAAAAATCATGGACTTTGGAATCAGACAGTCCTGCATATGCCTCTGACCTCTTCTCTCCACTGAGGCGATGTTTTCAATTTTTAAAAGATTTCTCTTCTTTCTAGCATGACCTTTCTGACTTTCTTTTAAAATTTAATTGGTTTGATTTAATAACTTGGAAAGCACTCAAACTAAAAACCTACTAGACTGTTTTGCATGTCAGTTAATTAATATCTGCAGATCATTAAATTACTTTTTTTTTTAGTAATTTGCTGGAGAAAAAAAAAGAGTATATATATCCACTACCAACATTTCCCAGAGTAGCTTTTAAAATCTACTCCAATACTGTATCTTGTGATTTCTCACAGTTTCAGCTTTCCAATGTTTCGTGTGTTTATTCATGGGAATGTTTCCTTTTAATAAGACACTAATGCAATTCTACCGTCTCATTCAGGACATGGAACACAGCCACTCATGGAGAGATAGTCCTTTTTACTCTTGTTTTCCTGACCCACTGTCTCAGTTCATTACTGCTGTGTAACAAACTGTTCAAAAAATATATGGTTTGATACACCTCTTGATGTTTTGTCAACAATTTTGTGGGTCAGGAAGTTGAGAAGGGTCTAGCTGGGCAAGTAAGCTCTGATATACCTGAACACATTATCTTTGGCTAGAGATCCTCCATTCAAGATGGCATTTTAACTACCTGTCTATTCTTCGGGTCCTCTTTGACCTCTCTCGAGATGATTGTTTTCTCTTCTAGTGCTTTTCCAGTTAGCTTGAGCTTTGAAGCCGTCGTGGAAGTTATGGTAGTTACATTTCTTAAAAAAAAAAATCCGACTTCTAAGAGTCAAGAAGTAGACACTATCAAACAAGTTATGGATTACATCTAGAACTGGCAAAGTATTGTTGTTAAGTGCCGTGGAGTTGTAGATGACTAATCGTGACCCTATGAAGGAATGACCTGAACACTTGCATAACTTTGTTTCTCCAAATTAATAGAGTTTCCGGAGGCAAGCTATTTTGGAAGTGGATGCCACTCCTGCTTCCAAGCTTGTTTTAACCAGGGAGCTACACTAAACACTGACCACCATGGGTAACCATTTGACACATCAGTGTCACAGTGTCTAGCATCACAGCAACCACAAGTTACCACTGTACAGCAAATGGACAGACCAGTGCTATACCACTTAGAAGAATATTTGACCAAAAACAATTAAAACCAGGCTTGAGGGCTGCAGATTAAAATTACCCATCTTTGGTTTGGTAGCATATCTTTCTATCCACGCCAGGCCCACAGAGCTCTCTGTGTTGGTGGTGGTGTTGGTAAGTGTTGTTGAGTTATAGACGATTCATAGCGACCCTATGAATGAAAGACCTGAACACTTGTGTAACTTTCATTGTTTATCCAAATTCATAGAGTTTCTGAAGGCAAGCTTTTTCAGACGTGGATTCCACTCCTGCTTCCAAGCTTGTTTTAGTTGGGGTGTTCCACTAAACACAGTCCACCATGGGAATTATCCACCATATATTTTTTTTCAGAGCAGTCAAATGCCTCATCCAGATCAAGTGGGTGGAGAAGTTTACTCTACCTCTTGATGCCTCAGTGGGCAAATTACTTAGCAGAAGAGTCTTTAGGGTGGATGATACTATAGCAGTTTCCTCCAACAAATACAACTTTCCACAATGGCCCACAAATGAGAACCATAGAAAGCAAAAACCAGATTGTTTGCTTAGCCCTCATCAGGGAGGTAAAGTTGGCTTAACTTCAGGCTGAACAAGTAAAGACAGGATTATGCTTTTAGTTTTTCTGTAATAAAGCTATTTGTGTAAACCTGCAGTATTAAAAGGAATCATGAAAAATAATGAAATACACCTAATCTTAACCTTATTGGTGAAGCCCAACTTTTTGAAGGTATGTTCAAATAGCTTATAATTAATATCCATCATTGTCTTTGTCTAAGTACCAGTCACTCAGAAAGCATATTTTGTGAACATAGTTACATTTGTAACTTGACTCAGGTTTTCAAAAGATTTTCTGATTTATTTTCTATATTGTCACTTATATAATGTTTAAATTTAAATATTCATATTTGGAATTTCGATATAGCATCACAATGGCCTTCATCCTTAACAATATAAAAATGTGAACTTTTTCTTCTAGATGTTTTTGAGTTCAAGCACATATCCTGAAATCCATGGCTTCTTACATGCAAAAGAACAGGGAAAGAAATCCTGGAAAAAGATTTACTTCCTTCTAAGAAGATCTGGTTTATATTTTTCTACTAAAGGGACATCTAAAGTAAGTTGATCTGTCAGTGATTTGTGTTAAATGATGAGTTATTGTTAGATGCCATTGAGTCACGGTGACTCATAGTGACCCTATGAACAGTCGGTTCAAGTCTTGCCCTATTCTGTGCTATCATGACCATCTTCATCTCATTCAAGCCAGATATTTCATTCCTCTGGTAAATGACATGTTAGTTACAAAATCAAATGAATTTTACTTTGTTATATTTAAAATGAAAATACTTGATACAAAGTGTTTGTAATTTTTGTCATTTTTTAAAAAATCCAAACATTTTAGATACTCTATTTCAAACTGTTAAGTATTATTTCCAGCTAATTTCCACATAAATTTGTTGCTGAAATGTTAATGCTTTTATTACAGTACCACATACAGTTCCTTTCTTCTCCACTCTGAATTCACCCACCCCCTTTTCTTAATTGTAGACCTGAAACTCTCCAGGGCCAAAGATAGTTCATATCTTTTCAACCAAGTCATACTGCTAGACTTGGCTTTGTCTGAATTTGTCTTGATATGATAGCATCAAGCTGAATCCTTACTCATGCCTTCATCCTTTTTGTGTTTATTTCCTTACCTAGGTTATAAATTCTTACAAGAAGTTATGATTAAGGATACATGTATGTATGTTCCAGCTGCTCTGTGGGACTCTGTGGGAGAAGGATGGGCAGTCTTCTCTTGTACGATTTACTGGAACCCACTGGAGGGTCAGCTATGAGTTGGTCTGACTTGATAGCACACTCAATAAAACCATACACAATATCACAAATATGCATCACAGATGTACATATATGCATGTAGTTGTTATGTGCCATCGAGTCTTTTGTGACTCAAAGCGACCCCGTGTATAAGAGCTCTAAATGCTGTTCTATCCTGTGCCAACCTAGCCATCCCAAACACACTTATTCCCACCGCTCCAGTCACAGAATCATTCCATCTCATCGAAGGTCTTCCTCTCCTTCGCTGAGACTCCACTCTGCCAAACATGATGTCCCTCTCCAACGACCAGTCCCTCCTTGCAACATGCCTAAAGTATGTCAGACAAAGCTTCAGAATCCTTGACTCCAAGGAGCATTCCAGCTTCACCTTCTCCAGGACAAACCTGTTTGTTCACCTAGCAGTCCATGGTATATTCAACACTCTTTTCCAG